TATCATAATTTGTGATGAATGGATTAAATGACTGCATTATTTAGTGACAATTTTCTAATGGTCCTTTTTTTGTTTTGTTTTGTTTTTTTCCTAGGACCGGAATCGGCCCTATGATACTTTTAACTTGCACTCTTTGGAAAACTCATTAATGGATATGATAAGGACTGATCATGAACCTCTTAAAGGTAAACACTACCCTCCCAGTGGCCCACCAATGAGTTTCGCTGATATAATGTGGAGGAATCATTTTACAGGTTAGGAATATTCATATGTTCATACTTACTTTAAAAGAAAATCAGCTTTTTTTCTGCTATAACATTTTGATGTGTTATTGCTTTTTTTTGCTAGTAAATAAATTGTTAAATTTTAAAGCTACTCCTTGATTTTAGAATCTCAGTTAACTGAGGTGAAAAGTAAATATACAGTATGATTAAGGAGGCAGTTAGATATCAAATCTTAGTTTATTGTTGGCCTTTTTTCTCCAAAAATATTTTAAATTTACAGTCAAAGAAATAAACCTAATTTTGAAGCACCTTTCTTGTTCTATTTGAAAGGAGCATGTGTAACAATGTTACATGTGCATTTTCAATCTTGTTAGACAGGATGCCAGAGATTTTTGATATATATAACTTCCAAAGTAAACAACTATTACAATTAACTGTGAAAATCAAGGCATACGTTCTCATGAAAGCACTGGCCCTTTTTCTACAGCTTTTTTTTTTCTATTTTTAAGAATTCAGTAAGTGTGCAACTTGGCATATGAATAAGAACAATCTTAAAACTAGAAAAAATGACTAAATCAGCTCCAATTCCTAATTCAGTTTATTTCTTAAATAATTCAACCAAGGAGAACCATAAATGGTCCAGAAACATTTACTAACTGAAACACATTTAACTTCTTTCTGAGTGATGTACAAAGGTTAAATCAAACAATTAGAACAAATGAAATAATGTTCATTCCTCTAGAAATGATAATGCCATTAGTCCTTGCATTAGTGGTATCCCACCTGAATTATTGTAGTAGATTTTTTTAGCAGGTCTTCCTAACTCCGCTTTCGATCCACAGTGCAAGATATTCTTATTTGTGTGCTTCTAGATCTTTCCCAACCCATCCCTATTTCTCTTGCTCTCTTCATTGATTGAGTTTTTAGAGGCATTATTACATCTAGCACTGGTTTATGTCATTATTTTGTTAGTTGTATAGTTATTTTGTTCACAACTGATGATGCTAGTGCACCTTATTTGTTGTTTGTTTTAAGATTCTAGCTAGGCTAAGTGAAAAATATATGGTCAAAGGAAAAACATTTAGTTTGCAAGATTGTCCAAAATCTCCTTTCCAAGTGCAGTCAGCTGAGTCATGTGTCTAAAATTATGCAATTCACTTCTAACCCTTTTTTAATTCTATGCATCTTGAATTGATTGCTTGAAAGCCAAGGAAAGATTTTTCATGTCAAATATGTTTGATAAATTCACACTTATCTTCATATGTGTGTGTGTGTGTGTGTGTGTGTGTGTATAGACGGGAATTGTAGAAATGAAAACAATAAAAAGGTTAAATATGTATATTAAAATAGTTGAACAGTGTAGTATTAACAGAATAATAAAACTGGAGAGTGAAATTGTTAAAAGTTTGGCAGAATATGTCTCCAATTAAGGACAAAAAAAAAAGGCTAGACTAGCCTTAGGAGGAGAAAGAGGGAAAATTCCAGGATTTAGGATGGGAGGATCTGATATTTTAGATTATTAATCAATGTTACTGTTTCGAGGGATATTATGGTTTGTAAATTACATACCAAATGATCTTGTTACTTGTGTTTTGGACAATCTGAAATTTGAAACTTACTATCCACTATTACTGAATAAAGAGACTTGGCTTGTTTCTCTCTAATAAAGTTAATGATTATTGCTGCTTGCTGTGATGTCCATTGGGCAAAGGTTATCAGCCACTGTTGCAATCCGGCAAGAAGTTAAAAACAGCCTATCAAAGATTTTCAGAGACAAGGTAAAAGGAAAGTGGTTACTTTCAGGTCAACTGACTTTTGCAAACCTGGATACATACCGTGTTTCCCCGAAAATAAGACCCACCCAGCCTGAGTTTTTGGGGTGGGCCTAATAAAAGCCCTACTCCAAAAATAAGCTGCAGGGGATGGGCATGGTCAGCAGAAGCAGCAGTGAGCGCACGGGGGCCGATGATGTTCGGCAGCAGCCGCAGCCCAGCCATTCCTTGGCGCAGAGCAGATAAGTCTGCGCAGAAAGGCAGAGGCAGGGGAAGTGTTTGGGTGCCTATGGGGCGCTTGGAAACTGAGCGATTCACTTGGTTTCCAAGAACCCAATAGATGCCCAGTTTCCCCCCAGACTGGAAGCTCCGACTGGTTGTGAATGGGGTGCTTGGAGACGGAGCTAATCGCTCCGTTTCAAAGCACCCCATTCGCAAGCAGACAAAGCTTCCAGTCTCCATCAGATCTCTGTTCGTGGGAAAAGTGTTTGGGCGCCTATGGGGCACTTGCAACTGCACCCCCTCTACCTGCCTCACCTTGTGGCAGTGGCACAGCAGGCCACACGGCCTCCTGCCGCAAGCGGCCTCAAGGGGCCACAGAAATGGGCCAGCAGTCACATGGCCTCCTGGTGGATGGGGCTCTTGGTACCATCGCCTCAAAGCGAGGTAGGTGTTGGGAAAAAAGACATCCTCCGAAAATAAGACCCACTGCCTCTTTTGGAGACAAAAAATATATAAGACCAGGTCTTATTTTCAGTGAAACACAGTAGTGAATTAAATTCTGAGAGAACCTAACATAAACTAACAAGGAGAATTTGGAATTAGCCTAGCAGCTATATTCAAGGCAAAGCCCTCTATAATCACTGTATACAACTTTAAACTGGTGGCATAGAATGAGGGATGTTGTTAACAAAAGATAAAGGCTGGCAGTGAAATTTAGCAAAGTGATTTATCGTTTGCTCTGATTCTCTTGCATTGAAACTGCCAACCAGTTATTAAATATGTTGTCTATAGGTAGCTGTTTAATAACCACTCATTCAGCAATTGTTACAATGGTCCTGAACAAGTAGTATTTACAATTAGTCCTCAAAATTCCCACAGTCCCAGCACTCACTTGGTCATGTGCTTGCACTCTGGGCTTGACAACTGGCCTGCACTTATGACGGTTGCAGCATCCCAGAGTCATGTGATCACCATTTGCATTTGCACCATTCTCTGCCAGTTTCACGCAAGCAAAGCCAAAGAGGAAATCAGCCGGGCAGATGGCAAGTCACTCCAATAGGTTACAGGCAAACCATGCATCTTCCCCTGCTCTGCAGTAGCCACTTACTGGCCTGCTTGGACTTACTTAATGACCTGCGATTTTTGCTTAATGCTGGCAATAGGAAATGCTGGGATTTCCATCCCTAAGCAGTATGATTATGTGACATCTCACTTTGAAACTGCATTACTTAGTGACGGAAATCCCAGCACTCCCCATTGCCACTGTTAAGCAAGGATTACCTGTAATATTTGAATTCACAAAAACATTGTTAAAGTCAATATTTAATGACATATTTCAACTGTTAAAAGCTTTTGTGACTAATTTGTTTTCTCAGTGTTATTGAGAATTGTGTAAGAGTATATATTTATGGAGGACAAAAAATCCATACCTAACTGCTACTACTTTTTGCTTGAGAGCAAAAATGAAATATATTCCTGCCATTGACTAGATTAAGTGGATTATCCCATACAATATTTCTTTTTTTTTTTTCTGGACAGAGAATGTTTTATTTTCATCACTACTGCTGGCCTCCTCCCATTTCTGGCCTGGGGAAGAGCACTTAGAACTTCTTTGAGGGGGAAAAAAAATCTGGAAACCTGGTGGAGAATGCCCCAGATCCAGCCAAAGTCTTATATCACTTAAGGTGCCGTGAGAAATTGGTTGTGGACAGCTTCTTCCTGGAACCCAAATAGGACCTTCTCTTAACACCAAAGCACCGAGTGCAGGAACAGGTGTTGAGATGAAGTTGGGTTGGAATGGGGGCAACTCCAGAGTTGGGGCACCCCACTTCTTGTCCCCACTACTCAGCTGGGGAGCTGTGAGGGTCAAGGAGGTCCTGGCCACCTTTGCACACATACATACACACCCCTCCCTTGGGGGGGTAAAGAAAGTGCGCCAGTTCTGTATCGCGGTCCCATACAATATTTCTGTCATTGTCTTTCCTTCTTTGCCTATCTTACCATCTAATTTTTGGCTCTGAGAATATCAAAATATACATAAAAATTGACATTTCATATTTGTAATTCATCATTTGCTTGGCATTCTGTGATTATTTAGAATAGCCTCCAGAATTACCTGCAGATCTACCATAGACATGCAAAGAGAATGCAGAAACATCTGTGTTCTATACTTAAAAAATTAAGAGACTAGAGTAGCCCCCTCCAGGAGTGTTTTGCCTCATACTTACTCTATCTAGAGCAGAGGTCCCCAACCTTTTAGGCACCAGGGACCAGTTCTGTGGAGCGAGGTTTTTTCCACAGACCAGAGGGTGTGTGGTTTTGTATGCTGCCTGCATCTCACGGATGGAGATTTGCTTGTTTGTGCAGACTGGTTGCTGGCATGCCGTGGCCTGGTATTGATCCAAGGACTGGAGATTGAGGACCCCTGATCTAGAGGGTAAAATAGAGAATGTCTAAACTGGAAAGATTAGAATAGGATGGGTGGGAGCACTACTGTATCATAATCTGAAAACGGAATAAGGATGCTTAGTTATTTACTTAATTATTTTGAACCTAAGAATTTCAACCAGAAAGCCAGTTGTGTTTTAATGTTTTTGGTCAGTTATCATTTAGTTTTTAGCTCTTATTTTGCTTAAAAATTATTAGTTTTGGATTATGATTTTTGGGTATAGCTGAAATAAAATAGAATGCATTCAGTTTTCTGCATCTGTGAGATTCTTTTGAAACTATGTTTATCATTACTAGTACTATTGAATGAAATAATTTCTATAATGTATTTTAGTTTTAATTTGAGTGAAGAGTAAAATCATGACACTTTCAGGTTAAGTCTCTTTATATTGCAATAACATATACAGTATGCATGTATGGGTGTGTTTTTGGCATTTTTGATTTTCTGAGAAGATAGTTGTTAAGTGTAACTTAAAAATAGAAAGCCAAAAAGCAGGTGACAAAATGTTAGGCAGGCAGTGCCTGGCAGGATGATTGAATGAACACAACATGCACACACGCTCATCAGATGTCACAGATTTGGTTCTATTTTTGTACCTGACTTTAGCAAAGGAAGAAAAAGGTATTTTTTAAAGTGTTTAGTACTATCATTAGAAGCTTCACTTCTGTATTACCAACTCATATATAAAAACTTCTTTAAATGGTTTAAATAACCATTTACTGCAATTTGGTTATTTGACCATTATTGGGGCAGACTTTTGTTTGCCGAATGGGATTCTTCTGGGGTCTTATCTGAAGTTTAGAAAGGATTTGTTTGCTGTACTTGGGTATAATTCACAACATACATTTCAGGTAATACCTTTTGCCATGTAGCAAAAAGTGAAGAATCTTCTTCAGCATTACATACTGGTACATTTAGAGAAAGAGTTTGGGTTTGGGGGAAAAGGAGCTTTCATGAATTGAGTATGCATACCTTGTGAAGCCATATTACCAATTAGAGGCTTCCTACCCTGGTTTAAAAGAGATTTCTGTGATGAAGGTATCCTTAGGATGCTTAAAGTCTTTGGCAGTTTCTAGGGCTTCATATAGATTACCTTGTTTACAATCTGCAAGGTACTATTTTGCAAGAATTCACATTCTTGCAAGATAGATGGAGAGATGGGACTCAAGTTAAATAACTGACCTAAAGATGCTTTCAAGACATATAAGATTCAGATCAGAGACTCTTTGATTAATATTTCCATTATCTTTACCACAACACAATTTTGAGTAAATTAAAGAGGTTTGTAATCATTTCCAAAAGCAGAAGATTTCATACACTCGCCAGTTAATGAGAATCCAAACTACAGTACATGTATAAAATAGTCTTTGGCTTTTCTTGAGGAAGCATAAGTAAATTATTTCTATTCACACTATCAGTAATCAGCTAAAGAAACACTAAAGAGGTAATGGCTTGTTTTGACAACAAGAAGCTGCTAATATTTCTTCCCAGATTTCCCTATTGAGTCAATAGAATGGAGGTGAGGGAATAATGTGTTTATTTTTCCTCCAAAGTACAATATTTAACATTAGGTACTGTTTCTTGTTACAGTAATTAATTGAAAAGTGTGTTTTCTGTTAATCTAAAAATCAAATTCCAACAATTAGAAATAAGAGCAGAACTATTTCCATTATAAAGAAACCAATAAAAGGAGACTAACATGTTTAGGTTCATTTTTTTCCCTCAGTTTGTTATCTTTTACCTTTAATGAACATAACATATAGTACTTATTGCTACACATCTTGTATAGAAGTAGAGATGGAACATATTCTGAAATAATTAACACTATTCATATCTATTTGATTTTGAAACTAGTTTTTTTAAAAAAATAAATCTAGTATTAAAAATCTGTTTAATTTTTTTAGGTCGTATGGGTATAAATTTTCATCATCCGGGAACAGATAACATTATGACACTTAATAGTAAGTTCATATCTTATTTTATTGCATTTTGTACAACTTGTATATTCAGTATGCTTTTGCATTTATGTGTCCATGTTGATTACAAAGGAAAGGGAGCACTCTGGACAGCATTCAAAAGTCTATCATATCATTCCAAACTGAAGAAATTCTTTTTAGAAGAAAATTGATTGCAGAACAAGTAGTTCTTGACTTACAACACTTTGTTTAGTGACCGTTCAAAGTTACAATGGCACTGAAAAAAAGTGATTTATGACTGTTTTTCACACTTAACGATTATTATGACATCTACCCCAAGGTCACATAATCTTCTGAGAAACAAAGTCAGTGGAGAAGCCAGATTCACTTAACAACTATTTTATTAGCTTAACAACTACAGTGATTCACTTAACAATTGTGGCAAGAAAGGTCATAAAATGGGGCAAAACTCATTTTACTTATCAATTGTGGTTGTAAGTCGAGAACATTACCTGTATTGTGATTGTAAAAAATTGTTCAATATTTTGGCGAAAACTAAAATGTATAATAAAAAGCTTTGGGTTTTTGGAGCCGCTCTATTAGCTTAGGAGTCACAGCCCCAAGTGCTCCTACTAGTACTGGGACTACTTTGGTCTTTACTTTCCATAGTCTCTCTAATTTCTCTTTCAAGCTTTGGTACTACACCAGCTTCCTATATGCCTTCCTTATGTTGCTGTTACTTGGCACTGTTACTTCTATCACCATCCATCACAGCTACTGCCTGATTCCTGTCTATTATTCTGATGTCTGGTCAGTACCTGCCTGTCCATCTGGATCTGGAAATCAGGATATTAGTCCTATTATTCTCCATGACCTTCTGTGGAATCTCTGTTCTGAATTAATCCATGCACAGTGCAGTTGTTCCTGTATACAATACCAGCTGGTTGTACCATTCAATGAAATACCCTACTGCTTATTGGTAGGGTTGTTGGACTGTCTCTGAGGTCTCTCTGGATAGTCTGCATCTTGGATGTTGTCTAATGTGGCAGACTCCTTCTTCTATGGATCTGGTATTTATTGCCTGTTTTTGTGCTGCTGTCTTTTAGTTCAGCCCTATCTAGCCACTTGTAGGATTTCCCAGTGCACCCACCTGAACTATCTATCAATGATAGAATCCCATTCAGTGTCTTGTCTTACAATAGCAGTTCCTCTGTTCTTTCTCCCATGACTGCTGTTACCCTGGCATTCTCTCAGGCAGCTCTTCTTTGGGTGCCATCTTATTGATGTACTCCTGGATGCTCTAGGTTTCATACAGGACAGTTATTTTGACACCCAATAGATCCCACCTATCATCTTTCAAGATGATGTACATATTCTTTGTTCAGTGTCAGTATTGTATGTAGTCAGTGAGGTTTATTTGGGGTGCAATTATTGCTAATTATAAATTTTTCAATATATACATTTAAACAATTTCTGAAGGGCTTGCATTCAGAGTTGAATGATTGAATTTCTTTCTTTGGCAGGCAATATCTGCTTATTTTATTACTAGTAATAAAATTGTGTGATAAGTGTGGGGAGCATTACAATTATTTTGTTAAATATGTTTTAAATAAATTCATTTAAGTCAAGGGTGTCAAACTGCCGGCCCACAGGCCAGATATGTCATGCTGAAACCACTCCTACCCCATTGCCGGCAATGGAAGAAAAGTTGTGATACATCGTGACACGTCATGTGATGTTGCGAGTTTGACACCCCTGATTTAAGTCAAGGATAATGTGGTTTTATTTTTTTTTAACTCAGCATAGATTTTCTTACCTATTTGCATAAACAATCTAGTTTGTTCTGAAGAAGAGTAGCAATATGATTAAAGTCATAAAGAATTATGCATAAACAACGTAAATAGATTCTGTTGTTGTTGACACTATTACCTGTCAGATATGCCTATAAGAATTTATGTCTCTACAAATTTCTAATTATTGGGGCTTTTGTATTCCATAAACATTCGTATTATAATTAATAATTTATAGGAATTGCATTGCAAACATGGGAACTTAATAAATGATCAGAAATCCCATTTTTATGCATTTTGACATTAATACACAGCTTCTGTATATGGATGTATTCATGTTAGCACAGAGGAAATGTTGGTCATAATCAACTCTTGAATTAAAATGGATTAGTGCAGGGTATATATTGCTCTTATTCGATTATTAATGAAAGATGCAAGCCATATTTTCTCTTCCAACATTATTGGAAGATGCATTTATGTGTACTTGGTATGATTCTATTGGCCACTTAGCAAGCAATGTCCAATCAATATAATCTATCTCATAACTATGCTATTTGCATTTGCACCTGATTTTAGATTGTATTTCTGTAAACTGATAGCCTTTTAAAATATTATGTGGTCCGAATCTCTAGGAAATAATTAGGAAGATACTTTTTCTTGGTAACATCACTCCCAGTATTAAAAAAAAAAAAAACTACTAACAACTGTCTCTTTAGCATTGGACAGTACTTTGCTGCTCTGAATTTTCTTATTTGAAGAATGGTCAATTTATATCATTGATACTCAGAAAAAGAAGATTATTGGGTTACATTACCCATTTATCATGGGTAATAACTTAAGACAAATTACTGAGATATACAGGTATTTTAGATATACATGTATATATGGATGAAAAATTATTTACTTACAGAAAAGGAAACAACTTGGCTAACATATCAGTCCCTTTTACCAAATGGACCTACACACTTAATGCAATTTGATTGCATTGTGGACAACAGTTCAATTAAACTTAAAGAGAACCTTTTAAAATGCAGAAGGTAATGAAGCAGTGATAATTAAATATATACAGAGAACATATTTTAAGAAATTAAATGCTGTTAAGAACATTATTAGGACTGTGCAATGCATTAAACTTGATTCTACAAAGTACTTCAGAGCACATGGGTACGAATGTAGCATCTATCATGAACCCTTTAAAATAGCTGTATTTTTTCCTTGGATTTTATGACAGTTCTGTACTGTAGCCATAAGACCCTGGGAGAAGACATGATTACTTTGAAAATTTGTAGGTAGGACTGAAATTCAGTAGGCAAGCAGCTCCTCTTAATTTTCAAAGGCAGTCATTCTTTTCAGCAGTCAGTTGCATTTTCCATCAATTTATTTTTGTTAATGAGTATAAGAGAACACTTTTTTTTGTTGTTTTTTGAAAAAAATAACCCTCTTTTTATCATAGAGGTAGGCAACTTAAAGGCCCTTGATTTCCTGCCTTTTTTTTCAGCTTGTAAAGTAGTGTTTTACCATTGTTGCTGAAAATTGAAGACATAGCATTTCATTTTTTTGAGCTTGGTCAATAGGCTTAATAGAATTTGCAAAAGACCTCCCTTCTCCCTCCAAAATATTTCAATGAAACCAAGGAAAAATTAAGCTTCAGTTGTTTTTGCAGAATTGCCTTACCCACTCAGATTTCCTGAAACGCAAGGTGTAACTTACAAAGAAGTTTGCCCTTTCTTATTATATAAACATAATATAACAATAATAACAACAGCAACAACAACAATAATAATAACATCCAGTTTTGGTCACCACGATATAAAAAAGATGTTGAGACTCTAGAAAGAGTACAGAGAAGAACAACAAAGATGATTAGGAGACTGGAGCTAAAACATATAAGGAACGGTTGCTGGAATTGGGTATGCCTAGTTTAATGAAGAGAAGGACAAGGGGTGACATGATAGCAGTGTTCCAATATCTCAGGGGCTGCCACAAAGAAGAGGGAGTGAAGCTATTCTCCAAAGCGCCTGAAGACAGGACAAGAAGCAACGGATGGAAACTAATCAACGAGAGAAGAAACCTAGAACTAAGCAGAAACTTCCTGACAGTTAGAACAATTAACCAGTGGAACAACCTGTCTCCAGAAGCTGTGAATGCTCCAACACTGGAAGTTTTTAAGAAGAGACTGGACAGCCATTTGTCTGAAATGGTATAGGGCAGCGGTTCTCAACCTGTGGGTCACGACCCTTTTGGGGGTCGAACGATGCTTTCACAGGGGTCGCCTAAGACCATCGGAAAACACATATTTCCGATGGTCTTAGGAACCGAGACACCGCTCCTCTATCCAGCCGCCACCGCCACCGCCCTCCTTCTCCTCTGCCAGCTCCTCTGCCTCTAGGGCATCCTTCTCCTTCAACAGCGCCTGCTCCTGCTGCCGCAGCACCATCGCGCTCGCCCCTGACACTGCCCGGGCCAGCTCAGCTGCGTGGGTTGCCAAGCTGAGCCAAGCCAAGTCTGGGCTGCTGCTGCTGCTGGGCTGCTCTGTCACTGCCACCGCTGCTGGCTGAGCTGAACTGCGACGCCGAGCCGGTCCCCACGCCTCCTGGTTGCTCCGCCCTCCATGCCGCAACAGAGCTTCCCCCGCGCTGACCGGCCCGCCTCCCTTGCTGTCGGAGGCCGCCTGGCGGGCAGGAGCAGCTCCTTCCCAGCTCGCCAGGCTCCGGGCCTCGGAAGCGGCCAGGTGGTGGGGAAGAGGGCGAGGCAGCGGCAATGCCTGCATATGCATTGGAGGCCAGTCGGCCGGGCTGAGAAGGGAGAAGCGGCACCTTCCGAGCGGGAGTTGGCACTCTGGCTGCGCCCCTCTCGCATGCGATGAGTCAGGGAAGAATCGTGGCAGTGAAGGGCTGCGTGGCGTGGAAAGGGGCTCCCGTGACCCTGCCGCTGCGATGGCGCTCAGGAGGCTGGAGGGGCGGGCAGGTCCCGGGGGGCCACTGGGAGAAAGCAAGAGGTGCCGGGATGAGGATGGGAGGCTCTAGGTTGGCGAGCGTGAGAGGGTGGCCAGCAGCTCCAAAGCGTGCAGATCCTCTGCGTGGCTTCCGAGGCCCCTGAGATGCCACCGCTTGGCTCTCCGCCAGGCTCTCCGCCAGACTACCATCTTCAGCAGCCCTAAAAAGCACTGTGGAAGAGTGGGGAATGCTGGGAGTTGCAGTTCATCACCATCTGGGAAAACATGACTCTCCAAAGATCAATCCTTCCGTCCGTCCT